GACACAGTATCCGGAATGGATTAACAATGGTAAGATAAAACAACCGAAGGAAACGACCCTGAACTACTACAAAATAGACAGGGACGAGGAGAGCGGACAGTATCTTTTGGCGTGATATACTTTCATAATAAAATCTATAGAGTTTCAATATGAAACGATTGGAACTATTTGGCGGGACGGGCTCGGTTGGTAGAGTGGCTCGTTTTTCTTGGGCTTTCGTGTTGTGTCCTTGGACTTGAAGAACGCACACATTAATGAAGACATACTCCAATGGGACTATACGAAGTCTGATAAGGACTTTGATGTCATCTGGGCTTCGGCGCCTTGCACTGAATATAGCAGAGCAAAAACCACGGGAGTTAGACAGATAGAGTATGCTAACAGCATTGTCAGAGGAAAAGTATGAAAATCATTAACTACTTTCAACCGAGAATATGTTTCATAGAAAATCCACAGACAGGACTTTTGAAAGAACAGGACTTTATGAGATTTTGATTACTATGATGTGGATTATTGTAAGTATGGTTTTGAATACAGAAAGCCGATGATGATATGGACTAACCTAAAGAGTTGGAAGCCGAGACCCTTGTGTAAAAAGGACTGTGATAGTATGGTAGGGAACAGACACGAAGAGACCGCGCAGAGACTTCCGTGTAAAGGTAGATGGGAGGAACAAAGGAAGAAAACACAGGATGAACTATACAGAATACCGGAAGAAATGATTTATGAGATAATATCAAACATCTAAACTTTCAGTATCTCGTGTCGGAGGTATGTTTTGTTCAAACCCTGAAGCCTGAAGGTTCTGTTGCCGGTGGTGTCTATCTCAATCTTCTGAACCTTGTAGTTTTCTTTAGACCATTTGCTGTTGTATTCCTTCCTGTCGGTGTAGTTTCCTCTTCCCTTCGTGTAGATTTTGACGGTGCCGTTTTCCTTTATCTCCTCATACTTCCTCTTGTTCTTCTCTCTTCTCGTCAGATTTACCCTGACGTCCATATGGTTCTTATCGTCGTGCGCTTCGTTGGGCGTGAGTTTGGTGGATGAGTGCTTGGTGCTGTTGTATTTCTTAAGAACGGGTGGAAGCATACTCGTCCATCCAGCTTTGTTGAACCGGACGCGGTCGTGTATCATATTCTTCAGCTTCCTCGACGTTGGCGCTGCACGACGTTGGCGTGCGTCCTTGTCTGGAACGCTCCGTCGTCGTCTGAATAGATGCTCATCGGAAAGCCCATGTCTTGAAACTTTCCTTCAGTGCCGGTAAGACCGTTTGTCCATCTCGCTTCTTCATAGGTATGACGTCGCCCATCTTGCTGAAGATGTCTATGACGACTAACGCATACGGGGGTTCGCTGTTCTTCATTGGTATTTTTACCTCCGGTTCTTTCGTTAAGGGTTTCATATGCATTATGTCGATTTGGTATTCGAACCTCGCGAACGGTGCCGTGTATGAGTTCGAGCCCCTATAGCCTCTAATCTGTTTGTTAGGTTGTTTCTTCATAATGGACTGGACATCCACTCTTGTTATGGATGGGTCTTGCTCCTTTGCTTGTTTTAGCGTGTCTTGGATTGAGCCGAAGCCCTTTTCCAAGTCGTAATAGACGTTGCTTATTATCTGTTCTTTTGTTAATCTTCTTGCCATATATTATACTAGTAGAGTTTTTAAGTTGAGCGACTTTATCCCTAGAAAATCTACTTAAAGGGATACTATCTTATATAGTAAGTGAGAAAATGAAAAGGATACAACATGAGAATATAGTGGAACTTTTGGAAGAGGAAATGAGGAAGTGTTATGCTTTAAACATCTTCAAGGGCAGGGTTAATAAACATGGTCTCATACTGCCCGAACCTATTATTGAACACATCTTGAGCTTTCATCGGTGTTCCTGTCGGAGGTGTGAGAGAACAAGGAAAGCAATACTCAACGAACCACCTAGAGTTTCCTGTCTTAAGATTTTGGACGATATTGACGATGCTGATGAATACTGTAGAAACCTTCTGATGAATAGAAGGACAATCAGATATCGGATGCTATGGTATTTCACCGCCTTAAGCGGTTTTCCCACCTTCAAGACCTTAGAGGACAACATAACGAGTATGTATCTGTCATTTAAATGACAATACAGAGAACTGAAATATTGCTACAATAACCTACAAGGTGGAAAGCCGAATACTATGCTCAGCTGATGGAATTGATACGGTGGATGGTGAAAAATAGAAAGAGGCTGAACTATCCTAACATCTTCAACGAGGAATTCGTTGAAAGACGTGTTAGACAAGTTTTAGATGAGGCTGTGAGAACAAGGGACGCAATGTATGGAATAAGAAGAGATTGACTATAGCCCCAGAAACACATAGCCCCATAATAAACTAATGACTGACACTATGAAAACGAATTGCTCTAAATGTAAAGTTTAAAAACATGGTTGAACACTTTGATGAAGGAAAGGCGCTTTGTAAATAATGTCTTGAAGAGAAAAGACTATATAGGGAAAACCACAGAGAGGAATTGAGACTGAAAGCCAAGGAACACTATGAACGAAACAGAGAGCAAACTGGAGAGTTAAATCATATAAACAAGATGGAGCCCACGAACCCGAATGCAAACACGTTCAAAAAGCTACATATGTCCAAATGACACTCTTGTAGGCCACTCTTGTGGGACACTCTTGTGGGTCACTCTTGTAGGAAACACTTGTGGGACACTCTTACGGGACACTCTTGTGGGACACTCTTGTGGGACACTCTTGTGGGACACTCTAGTAGGAGACTCTTGTGGGACACTCTTGTAGGACACTCTTGTGGGATACTCCTGTAGGACACTCTTGCGGGACACTCTTGTGGGGCACTCTTGTGGGACACTGTTGTAGGAAGCTCTTGTGGGACACTCTTGTAGGACACTCTCGTGGGACACTGTTGCGGGACACTCTTGTGGGACAGACACTCTTGTGAGACACTCTTGCGGGACACTGTTGCGGGACACTCT